AACAGTTCTAAAGTATCCTGTAGCAGATACTGTGTACCATTTTAACCCAGTAAGTTCTGTGATGAACAGTTCTAAAGTATCCTGTAGCAGACACTGTGTACCATTTTAACCCAGTAAGTTCTGTGATGAACAGTTCTAAAGTCTCCTGTAGCAGACACTGTGTACCATTTTAACTCGGTAAGTACTGTGATGAACAGTTCTAAAGTATCCTGTAGCAGATATTGTGTACCATTTTAACAAAATAGGTATGTAACATTGTTAACAATAGACAGTTCTTGTATCACCTGATGTGTTCATTTCAGCTCATAATGTATTTTATACCAGTTGTTGTACACTTTTGTTTTTAGGACTTCAAGCCTCCCAAGAAACCCTTTAGAAGAATGAACTACACAGATGCATTAGTGTATCTAAAAGAACATAACATAACTAAAGATGATGGAACATTCTACAAGTTTGGTGATGACATTCCAGAAATGCCCGAACGAAAAATGACTGATCAGATTAATGAAGTAAGCGTGATTATCTTGTACAAGGGGGATATTTCTTTTTTTACAAGTCTGTTATATAATATTTGCTCACAAACCGAAAATATTTTAACATGTAATATTTAAATTTCTCAACATCATGTCATCATACAAAGTGCATTTCGTAAACCAACAGTATTGGAAATAATTACGGAAACAAGAAATGAAATAAGTATAAAATGGAAATATTTCTCCACTATCCCACTAAACATCAACTATTAAACTCATCCTCATCTTACTTGTGATGCTCAATATTAAACATCAGAAGAATGGGCCAGTCAATATAGTAATCATTGTAATATAAACGTTAACAGGGTTAAGTAAGACTTGTGGAATGGAGCTGCTGAGGCTCATCTGATATCAGAGAGAAATCCTAGACTTAGGAGTGTATAACATCTTTAGTGAACAGGATTCTATAAACTAAACATCATATAATGGTTTAAATAAATCTCCTGAAGCACTCATTGTTTTAAAAATTTGTTTCTTTAATTTCTAGCCAATTATGTTATGTCGTTTTCCTGCCGAGATAAAATCCTTCTACATGCCGAGGTGTCCCGAGGACCACAGATTGACTGAATCTGTAAGTATAGTCATTTTATTTTGTATGTCAAGTTGCTTTTGTATTGTTATTATTAAGTCAAACAGCTTGCAATTTTCATGAATATATTTATTTGTGTACTTTTAAGTAGAAAAAAAAAGTAATTGAGAAACAATAATATATAAGTTATAATAATAGCATGTTTACAACCTCTTGATATTTGATTAACAAGATCGTCATAATTACATGTAGAATGTTACATGAAAAATTAGAAGAATTACATTAACATACCCAGGTAAGAATATATTCTAAACTTAATTAAAATAACAAAAGATAATAACACGGTCTGAGTAAAATTAGAAATGCTACTCAGTACTTCACTTATTCTCCCACTTCCTTTAATTAATTATTGTCGAAGTTTAAAACATCTGGTTCTTCTTTCCCCCGATATCCTAATTACCGCAAAAGGACCAGCAGTTTGCTAACCTCTCTCTTTTGGTTCTCCTTGTTAAGGTTGATGTTCTGATGCCTGGTGTTGGGGAGATCGTTGGTGGATCTATGAGAACTTGGAAGCTGGATGAGTTGATGGAAGGATTTAAACGTAATGGAATTGACCCTAAGAACTATTACTGGTATACTGACCAGGTAAGTAAGGTTGATCTACCAGTTTTAACTAAACACTATGATGTATCCTTACAACACTCACTAGTCACGTACGATTTGGTTTAGTGTTATGACCAAATACAGAAGCGTTAGTTTTAACTAAACACTATGATGTATCCTTACAACACTCACTAGTCACGTACGATTTGGTTTAGTGTTATGACCAAATACAGAAGCGTTAGTTTTAACTAAACACTATGATGTATCCTTACAACACTCACTAGTCACGTACAATTTGGTTTAGTTATGACCAAATATAGAAGCGTTAGTTTGATAACACTTGTGATGGTGGTGGAATTATAACAACAAGGTAACATAACACCTCTTCCCACACTGTAACTTATACCACGGTGTTATAATTCCACCACCATCACAAGTGAAGATTGGTAGGTGATGTATCCTTCTTATACAGATACCTCCAAAACTGGGATACATCTTATATTTTCCCACACTGTAACTTATACCACGTGAAAACGGAAAGTAGCTGTTAAAAAAATTATTTTTTATATCTATAAAACACCCAACTCCACATATATATTCTCTGTTAATTAATTATTTACTTTTGCACTTTGTAGCACAAGTGAAGAGAAGTAAAGATTGGTAGGTGATGTATCCTTCTTATACAGATACCTCCAAAACTGGGATACATCTTATATTTTAATTAAAGATTATTATTAGTCTTATTGTAATGTAAATCACACCATAATAAGTTTACTGGTTTAAAAATACATCTTACCTCTTCCTGGTTTTTGAAATACTTCTCAGAGTAATTTTTAAAGAACATGTGATTTCTTATTACCATTGAATTAGTAAGTTTATGAACAGATTATTTGTCTTTAATCATGCATGTTGTTTACTGTTTTCACTATAAGTCACTACATATGTTGGTTTAGTAACTTGATAGCTGCAATCAGAAACTACTGACATTGTCAGTAATCAAATGTAGAATGTAGTTTTTAAGTTAAAGGGTCTGGTCTATAGATAATCATGACTTGTTTTTATTTAGGTTTATCGGAGCTTCAGCATCAAATATAATTTGAAACAACAGATATCCAAGTCTAAATTAACTTATTACTGAAGGTTTATGTATCCCCAAAGAAGAATAAGTTAAAAAAATAATATTTAACATCAGCGTGCAAATAGAGGTAGATTAGAGAGAATGTTACTACAATGAAAAGTTAGTTATTAAGTCATCAAGTTGAGTATCTTGTTTAAAGTTTTTAACCTTTGTTGACAAAATTACCATTGGAAAAACATCTCTCTTCAAAGTGAATAAGACATTAAGGTGTACAACGGTCAACAAAACGTGGGTAGAGACAGGCATCTCTGATGTGGTAACGGTCGAGGAGCCACGTAACAAACCTTTCAAATCCCAGGCCATAACCTCCATGGGGACAACTTCCATACTTTCGCTGTATATCAAAGAAAAAATAGTTAACTGTTAACTATATAACACTATTATAAAGTTATGTAGCCTTTTATCATTAGATACAAGTAGTGTAACAGCTTGTCTATCTGAAACATTAACACACTTTCACACATCTAATATAACATATTATTAACAGTATGGCAAGCAGCAGTGTACAGTTGTGTATTTTGTTATATTGATACGAGAGTATCGTCATGGTGGCCTTTAGCCGCTCGTGCGAAGCTCACACGTTGCACCAACATCCCTGCTCTCGCTATAGTGTAGATGAGAAACATAATTGGGGTGTGTTGGATTTTACAGTTTTTCTGGCTACTGCCTTTGTAGATTTTGCTACATCCCTAAAACACTCGTAGAATAAGCAATTTCAAAAGTCATTTAATCCTGTATTATTATTAGTTGATAGCACTAATCATCCGTCACTTGACTCACCATAGCACTAATCATCCGTCACTTGACTCACCATAGCACTAATCATCCGTCACTTGACTCACTATAGCACTAATCATCCGTCACTTACCAAAACAATATTGCCTGAATTTGCACTTGACATATTCTTGTGGAAAGATGCATTTCAAAATTCCTAGCACAAGCATGTACATAAAAGTCAAATGCAATTTTCATTTTATCTAAGTTATTAGAACAATTTAAAAATACTATTCTTATTTTAGTTCAAAAGAATGAAGGAGCAAGTGCACTTGACTCACTATAGCACTAATCATCCGTCACTTGACTCACTATAGCACTAATCATCCGTCACTTGACTCACTTAAGATGAAACTAATTTTCCTTCTTCTTTGAAGAAATGTATAAAATGCACTGAAAACTTGGCCAATTTTCTTCCAAACACCAAAGTACATGTTTTGTACAAGTGTGAAAACACTAGAACAGTAACTTCAGAATAAGCAAGGTTAGAGCATTTTACTTTTTGATGAGATTAACCAAAACACCAACTGTTTATAACTTTCATATACTATTGCTCACATAAGTTTTGAAAATATTAAAGAGTTCAAATAAACACATTAGTTATTAATTGATGATTGTAATTATAGTATAGCAGAGCTAGAAAGATCTAGATATCTTAAACAATGTGATAACTCTGATATAATTCATGGAACGTGCGTATTGAAGTATAATATTTGACATCTCTGTGCTGCTCAAACTTCAACACGATAGTCAACTTCATGACTTTCCATTGTAGTAACATTTTCTCGCTGATGTTAAACATTGTTTTTGTTTGGGTTAATTTAGATTTATATATATCCTGGGATTTCTGTTGATCTTCCAGGAAATGGAAATAAACATCAAGCATTGTTAATTGACTTCACAAATAATTTTTATTTTTTAAATTCTGCGTACTGTACATAAAGAATTTGGGTTTAGTCTATCATCCATTTTTCAGTCTTTGTTTCTATACATCTTACAAGGCCTGTCCCTAGAATTGAGAAGTCTTCCAATATTGCTTCAATATTTGGTACTATATTAGCTTCTCCGTCTTTAGTACTACCCTTAATCATTCGTCCACCAATGTGAGAGATCTGGAAACAGAATTATCAGTGCTTAAAAACATGTTAAACATTGTATTTTTTAACTTATTCTTCTTTGGGGATACATAAACCTTCAGTAATAAGTTAATTTAGACTTGGATATCTGTTGTTTCAAATTTTATTTAATGCTGAAGCTCCGATAAACCTAAATAAAAACAAGTCATGATTATCTATAGACCAGTGCCTTAAAAACTACATTCTACATTTGATGAATGACAATGTCAGTAGTTTCTGATTGCAGCTATCAATTAGCAGTTTTTAAATGGTGATGAGTCAAGTTACTAAACCAACATGTGTAGTGACTTATAGTGAAAACAGTAAACAACATGCATGATTAAAGACAAATAATCTGTTCATAAACTTACTAATTCAATGGTAATAGGAAATCACATGTTCTTTAAAAACATTGTCTATATTTGACAAAAATATAAGCTTAATGATATATGTATTTTATTAAGGAATTACATATATTAATATTATACTGTTACAATTATCATTTATGGTAGAGAGGGAGTTTCTTTCTCGATGACTTTTGGTGTCAAAAAGCTATATATCCTTAAAACTGTGAATGGTAGTCATTTCAAATTTGTGGTTAAGACATCTGAAAATATAAAGAAATGATCCAAATCGCTTTAAGGTAAAGATAACAGTAAGATCGGTTTGTCGGAGAGATCACTATAATTTGTTATTGTGGTTATAACAGTTTAGAAGGTCGGTATTTAAGTGCTGAATGTGTAGTGTCAGAAATGGCACTGCCTTACCTTGAAAGGTTTGGGTTCAAAAGCGAAAGGCTTCCACAGGACACCAACAAACTCGCCGCCAAAATGATCATAGAAAAATAATGCAAATTCTTTGTCTCAATAAGAATGTTTACTAATCACATGATCGTGACACAGCATATGATTTTAAGTAAGAGATGTGGGCAGAAGTTATTATTACCAACATTATAAAAAAAAACAATTCTTGAGATTGGTGGATAAGCCTAGAAAAGTTTTAAGTTGCGTAAGTAAAATTTCTACGTTCCTGTTGAAGTTTTTACTGTTATGTCTTTGTTTTTGAAAGGTAAGTTTAATCGTACTCAACTAAAATTTATCTTTCCTAGGAATGTTTTGGTAAGAAACAAACAAACAAATGGTTACACGTATAGTTGTATTATGACTTCATCACCACACATTCCTGAATTATGAAGTTCACTACAAGGAAGAATAAAATATTGTATGTCTGATTTTTTTTTTACTCTTCTACCAGAAATAAATTATTGAATCTTTCTATGTATACATATTCCTAGAGTCAGTTCTTAAAATATAGAAAGATTGACAATAAAAATGGTACGAGGATTGTAGTTGTATTTAGAACAAAAGAGGTAACTCTAGGATATCGAATTAAATTCCTACATTATGTGATTGATGAAATAAACAAATTAGCATACGTTTAATTCTTTTAAATATTTAACAACTGGGTCATAGTCAACTACTGGCAGCTTTTCATCCTTAGAGTATTTGTAAGGTTCACATTTTGACAAAATCTTTCCTTCTTGATAATCAACTCCTAGGTGGCGCTTCGGGATTTGTAGTGGGCGTAAGTGAATGATAACATCGTACAGATCCAACGGTGGTCGAAAAATGAGCTGTAAAATACATAATTATCAGTATTAAAGACAAATGTGGTTTTTCTTATTATAAATCAACACGCTGAACTGCACCCACCAGTGAAATATAGAAACATAATTATCAGTATTAAAGACAAATGTGGTTTTTCTTATTATAAATCAACACGCTGAACTGCACCCACCAGTGATATATACAAACATAATTATTACTAGCTAAATGTAAAAAACAATGAACAGGATAAAAAGATACACAGACTGAATAATTTCCTATAATTCTAGAGATATTTATAGGACTAATGAGTTCTTTCTCAGGTCTGAAACGTTTATTATTAATCAGACTTCAACCGTATTAAATCTGCTTGTCAGAGTTGCAGTATAAGATTTTTCTAAACTCATCAGTAAACATAATCAATCAGATTATTTCAAGCTTTTTTTCACAGGAATACTTTCCACAAATACAGAACCTTCCTTATAAACCGGGTGAGTAATACAGCACAAAATAAAATCATAACCAGGCTGTAATCTGTTGGTGGTAAAACTATTATGGCTAGCTGCCATCACCTGTAATTTTGAATTACTGACCAGGAAGGTAGCCAGTCGACAGCACCCATCATCCATGCTTGGTGATTGACTGTCACTCTTGTAATGCACCTGTAGCTTATAGTGTGGGGAATATTTTGTGGTATTACATGGAATCGAACCAGAAACGCCAGCTCCAAAATCCAGAGCCCTACCAACCCATGCCCTGAAACTATTCAACATGTTAACAAACTGCCCAAAACTCTGTTAAAAAGAAGAATAGATAGAGTTTGGTTATACAGCCAATCAAGTTTTAACAACAGAAGTTTGCTTCTGTACATTGATTTATTTCATCTTTAAATACCCATGGTAACAACTTTTATTTGGAAATAACTGGAACTATTTAAATAAGAAAGCTATTATTTACTGAATTAGTACAATCAAACAATAGTACAACCTGTTAAGCCTTCAGACATTAAGGCTTGTTGATATCTTTATGGGAAACATTTCAATAAATTGGAAAGATATGTCAACCATTGGAATTATTATTTAAAGTACAAGAAATGTTAAATGATCCTAAATTATATTAATTTATACGGCATTATTACATCACAAACTGCAGACTGGTGTAAACATTAGGGTAAAGATGTATCAAAAGCCTGAGTTCTCACAGTACCAACTACGAAACTGCACGTTTTTAAGTACCGAAAAAAGTTGCGAATTTTTGCAGCAAGCATTATATATAATGTACAAAAAACATTAACTTCGGCATTTTTACAAGTTTGTGCATTATACAAAAAAAAAAACTGTTAAATAAATACTGAAAAACAGACCCTAATGTCCATCTCAGATGACTCTTTCAGCTGTTTCTCTAGTGTTGCTAACGCCTCTTTTGCCAGAATTGTCAAACGGTGAAGAATTCGAGTAGATGGACTATGTCGTGTCCATGTGGAGACCACCTTGTCCTGTGGAATGGCAATGAACATGGGAGGTAGGGTGGGTCTCTGAGATGTGAAAGTCTTTTGAATCTCCACAAAATCTTTCTCTTGAAGAAAAAGTAATTGAAAAGAAATTATGCAATAATTAATAAAATAAAAAGTAAAATATCAAATCTATTTCATAAAACAGCATTCTACAGCTTCATTCTTAAAGAAAATTATGTTTTAACTTTCAACCTATGTTCCTTTTACTCATAGTAAAAAATAGAACTTTAATTAAATGGGACAAAAGATACAAAGTTTTTTTGTCGTTAAGTTTCTTCAGTTTTTTCATATCAATTTTCGGTCATCCTTATGTCACATACTAACTGACATAAAATGCTAGGTGGTTCAAAAACTACTTGGTCCACTTATTCTTATCTTTCAGCCTTTTAAAGTTAATGTATAAAGCACGTAATACATATTGACAAAGTAAGTTATGGAATTATCCATATACAAGAGGTTTCATTATCGGTACAACTATCTTCTGTATTTTAAACAACATGTGAAAACTACTGCACAATATTTTAACTAACCACATTCCTTAAAGTGTAATCTGAACCATTTTGAAGGAAATGTTCATTATCGGTACAACTATCTTCTGTATTTTAAACAACATGTGAAAACTACTGCACAATATTTTAACTAACCACATTCCTTAAAGTGTAATCTGAACCATTTTCTTATCTTTACAAACAATTCTGACCATTAAGCAACAATGTATAAAGTACTCACATAAAAAATGTTTTCTTTAAATTTTCACAATATTTTTATTTTATCCTATTCTTATGCTCATCTTTTAAAAACCAATGCTATGCTTAACAGTATACTGAACATAGTGAATCACGTTATTTAAAGGTAAAACAAGCTTACTAATAATTATTAATAATGTATTTTACTTAATGTGTCAATATTAGCTTGTCAAACAATTAAATGCATCATCGGTGATTCTTTAACGACTTTCAATTAATTGTCTTTTAACTTTCTTTTTTTTTTTTACTGAAGAAATAGCTAACCAAATTGCATGAACCTTAAGAGAAATTTTCTAAATAGTATCAATTTTTGAATTTTAAACAATCATATAACTTGACCTACTTTTTCTATAATTCTTTTGTGAAATTTCCAAATTTTTGAAACCAAAAACATGACAAATACCTTTTCAAATCATTCAGTCATTTGGTAATTAACAAAAAAAAACTCACTTTTGAATTCATTGTTTAAGTTTAATATAAGTGGAGAAGTCTGCCAGTCATGGTTACTGAGTAAGAATAAAAACCTAAGAAAGGCTACTTGCGGTGACCTGATAACAGAAAATATAAGCAAAATTACTTCAAGTTACTAAAAACGTTTATTAAATCTTCTGATAAATTAGTTAGCAAAAGACAGAGATAATTGGTTTTAATTTTAAATTCAATCCTATTTAAATGCAAGAAAACACTAAATTATGTGACAAAAGGAAAATGTTAAAAAACGTTTCTATTTATTAACATTCTTAAAACAGAAAAGTTCAGTTCTGAATTGTAATCTTGAATTATTTTATATGTTAGAAAAAAACTTCCTTTCACAGATCAATTAGAGAAAAAGGAATGGATGAAGTACGCATGATACGTCAAGGATATTTAAAATTTGTCTGTAGTTACTTTCAAAGCTAAATGTACTCATGATACGTCAAGGATATTTAAAATTTGTCTGTAGTTACTTTCAAAGCTAAATGTACTCATGATACGTCAAGGATATTTAAAATTTGTCTGTAGTTACTTTCAAAGCTAAGCGTACGCATGATATGTCAAGGATATTTAAAATTTGTCTGTAGTTACTTTCAAAGCTAAGCGTACACATGATATGTCAAGGATATTTAAAATTTGTCTGTAGTTACTTTCAAAGCTAAGCGTACACATGATATGTCAAGGATATTTAA